CCCATTTAGGGTTTCAGAAAAGTAAATTGTAACTGCAGCCTCTTGCAAATATTTTCAGATTTAACAAAAGTTTTTTTAATTTTTTGTGTGCCCCGCCTCTTACCATTACAAAAGCAAGAACTCATGCATACATAAATCATCTTAAGCCCAGCAACACTAATCATATGCCCATAATTTGGATACAGTCTAAGTTGACCTGGAGTCAACTCCAAACTATGGCATGGAAAAGAAGTATGCATTCTGCCCTGTAAATCATTAACATCAATAGGAATTCCACAGCTAAACTACATCCTCTAAGGCCCAAACAGCTCTGCTCATATTTGCAATTTCCCTGACTTGCAAAAAGCCCCTTGAGCAAGCATAAAAAGCTTGGCCTAGGCAGAACCAGCACATCATCCTAAGCCCCTACAGCAGCTTCTCTGGGTGAAAGCCACAGGTGATCTTGCTCTGTTGTCAACAAAACTAGGGGCAACGTACTTTTAAATGCAAAAATTAGATGAAATTATCTAGAATTGCTTCAAGTGAAGCTACAGTTTATTTACCTGCTCTCACATTTTGTCCCTCTTTTGAAGAGGCGATAAAGATATATAGTGTGCATGTCTAGTGAAGTTGGGATCTTTGCTCCCAGCTGTGATTTGGAAAGGTACATCCATCTCAACTGGATAAATGATAATGCAGCCTCTAAATTATAGCTAATAATATCTGTAATTACTGAACAAGAATTTTCCTTCAAAAAGAAGCAGGGTTATATTTACTACTTATCTGAATTTATTCTTCTTTCTACATATTAAACACAATAATTTTGCTTCAAAATGGTACTTGCAGGAATGATGACTAGAATGATTTTATGCAAGAATCCATGTAATGGATGGTAATGATGCAGTTTTCTGCATCTTACCTGGATGACAATAGATACATTTGTGACAAGGCAACTAGAAGCATGAATAAAATAAAGAGAACTGATACTGTATTTTAACATTGATAAACCTTGGGTTTAGATTTTTTTTAAAAATCCCACAAGACAAGCCAACAGCGTTTAGGTGAGTGTCTCATAGGACAAGAAAGCCATGCCCCAGGGCCTCTTACACTCTGGAAACTCCCTTCTGATCCTTCCCAATGATGATGCTTTCTCCACCTCTAACACTGAATGGGCAATCTGGGATGCATGAGGTTACTGGAGACAGTAACCCCAGGTAACAGCTCTGTGGGGAACTGTGCTACACAAACCAAGAGGGCTGCTTGACTCAGAAGCAGTGCCTATTTTTAGAGGCAAACACGTGCCTTCATTTCTCCAGAAGCACAATGGCAGAGTGGAGCAGCCCACAGGAGCACACCCAGGCTAGGTGCTGTATGGGGGATGGCTGGTCCTTAAGTGAGCAGACTTTACCCCGATTGTTCTCTCCAGTATAGCTGGAGGTTTGGTTTTATGTGACAAATTCTAGACAAGTAAACCTATGTGAGCAAGGAAATCCTACTAGATTTCTACAGATGACTGATCTGTGTTGATGACAGAGTGTTGATGTTGGCTTCTAAGCAGAAAGGGTGAATTCTTTTGATTCCCTAAGGGTTGGGATGATACTTGATTTGTTCTACTTTATTAACAGATACCTTTACACAGAGCATTAAGCATTACTAGGCAGTTAATGCATTAAGCATTAGTAGGATGTCATAACTAGCTAATATACCTACTCCTAATTAACTGAGAAATAACAATATCACACAGGTAGGACTTGGCTTCATGATTTAGGTTGCTTTAAAATCTAAATTTCATAAAGACTCAAATTTCTCGATATGACTGTGCTCTGCATCAGCAAAACAGAATAAAATGCCATTATTCTACTCCACAGAGTAATGTCCACTTTTCTTCCCTTTTTGCCTTATTTCATTAACTGGTTGATCATTCCTGTAATCTAATGTAAGAATTAGTATTTTTCTGTGTAGCAAAACAAAACTTGATCATACCGTGTGTGTCTAGAAAAGCCTAAGACTGAAAAACTAAGAAGGAAGAATATACTATTTCTCAAAAAAATCTTCCCAATTAATTTGAAATTCTATATTGACAGAATTAAATATCTGACAGCTTTTACAACCACATTAAAAGAAGCGTACAGTGAATATGAGAACAACACAGGTGACTTCTGCATTAAAAGAAGTGTACAGTGAATATGAGAACAACATAGGTGACTTCTGAAGAACAAGGAGACTGAAAAGTTCTAACCCAAGTGGGAAGCCAAAAACTGGAAGGCAAAATAACTATCCCACTAAGAGATTTTTATTCTAAACAATTATTGTAAAAATCTTCAGCATCCTAAAGATGCTGAAGCAAGAATCAAATTCCCTGAAAATTTAAGACGTTACAAGGTGACTTATTATGATTCATATTAGAAATTACAAGTTAAATGAAATACCAATTGTTTTTCTTTTTCTATATGGCTAAATGAAAACATAACAAATACCAAAAAAAATTAACACATGTCGTTCTCACTCTTTTCTGAAAAGTAAAGTCAATTCAGTATTGCCATCCAATTTCACTTCAGCTCAAAGACCTTGGCAGCAGAAAATGATAAAACTCTGTCAAAGTCTGCAGTGGTTCAACTAATGTTTTTTAGAAATACTTTCCCCATTTATTCTGTCAGTTCTATATCTAAAGATCTGATGTTTTGAAAAAAAAAAAAAAAAAGCTGATGTCTTTTCAAAAGATGGCTTCATTAAAAAATCCAGATATGTGAATAGTATAGAGAAAAATACTGTGTTAAACCCAAACCCTTCTTTAAATTAGCTTCAAACTGTCAAAGCCCATTGTATTCACCAGCTTCAGTCCCGTGCTGAGTAGCTGAAAATTGAAAAAATATGGAGAAATGCCCCTCTCTCTCTTCACCTACTTTGTCTGGCTTCCTTCCAACAACTGTTTTTCTTACACTTGGATTATGGGAAGAGGTCAAAAAAATCAGCTGTGTAGTGGTCCTCACTGAGGGCTGTGAGTAAACTCCAAGACCAACTGCTGCCCCACATGACTTATCTGCTTCCTCTACTAAAACTGCAGCTTCAAGTTTCTCGAATTCTTTCTAAATTCAGCCGAGCAGGGTTCACACAGCCTAGATATAAGGCTTTTCTTACATCAGCTTGGTAAAATGAACAAGACAGCTTAAAAACCAAGAAAAGTGACCCACAGATGGACTGATAATCATGGACATTTTGGTTAATCAAACAAAACAAAGAAAAAGAAACAACAACAAATAAATCACTACACTCATGGGGGCATACTTTACTGTCCAATCCATTAAAGGAAGTGTCATTCAGAGTCAATCTAGATAAAGCAGTAGAATTATGGAAATAATTTTACATGAGGAGTTTGGGAATTGAAATGTTTTTCAGGTCAGTTTGGTTTAAGACAAAACCTGCAGTTTCTACCAGCACAATTTGTAGCATCAAAGGGCTGATAGCTCCTGTAGCAAAGATGCCCTTCCTCATCCCCTGGACTAAAATGAGAGCATCCCTCAGTCATTTCTCTTGCTCTCCCACATACTGCCTAAAAGATATTGTAAAAGATGCTTTCTTTTGTATGATGACTGAAGTTAATGAGGATGTACCACAAATTTTATGTCCTGTATAGCAGGAAAGGATTGAGTTCTTGCAGACTAAGAAGCTGGTGGACAATATAGATATATTCTGACACATTCTAACTGGATTAAGGAACAAACAGGAAACAATCTGGTTCTGCTCACAGTCAATAATAACTCAAAAAAATGCAAAGTAAATCAAGCACAGGGAGACCACAAACTAAAGGGAGAGGAAAGGACAGGGCAGAGAAATTCACCAAGAATGGACATGAACACCACAGAGAGGAGACAACTGACAGAAGTCCTGGAAAGCAGTGAAGGAGGACAGAAATGGAAAGATGAATTGGGAGGCAGAGACAGTAAACGAAATACCAGAGACACACTGGTTTCTCACATTCATTTGTTCTAAATTATCTTCACTTTAATTAGGAGAGGAAGAAAGCCTCCAAAGTTACAGAAATGTTATGGAACAGAGGCAAGCAAGTGAACAAAAGCTCACAAACACAGCAAATGAAAATAACAAAGCCACCACCATCATCACAAAGACTAGACTGGGCTTTTTGGGCTTTTACAGCAGTCTTCAAATTGTTAAAATTTCCATTATTTTTTATTTTCCTTTTATTATCTGTTACAGTACAAATGTTCTGAAATGCTACAGTTCCGTAACGTTACACTACAAATGTTCTGCAGCCAATGACTGCAGAACAGCAAATCTAATATTTGCTCTTTGACAAAAACATTATATATATATTCTAGAGACCAGCCACATGGTAGGTTTATCATTAACATTGAACCTGTCCATGTCCTAAAAATCATGCTAACTTCCACTTAAATTGTAATAGCTTAAATAAAGGACAGCATATGCATTGCAAGCTTTCTCTGTTTATCTCTAAACTTCACAACTTTTTAACTGCTATTTACCTTGCACAGTAGTCCATTAACTTTCAGAAGCTTAGTAAGGGAACTCTAATAAACATGCAGTGTAAAAAAACATGCATAAAAATAATTATGATATAGCAAATCTAATTTTTTACACAATTATTTGGTATTACTGAGATGTTACTTCATAGGGCTATGCTACAAGACTGATTTATTTAAATCCCATTTAAAGGCTTAGAAATTGTCACAGATATTAACACTTGTAGCTGCACATATGCAAATTTCTTAGGAAACTAGGAAAGAAACCAGCATATTGAATACTGGGGAGATTTTAAGTTTGGCAGCAAGACAAGCTTGCTAGACATGTTTATAAATTTCCTGGCAGATCTGAATCTGCTTAGCTTCCAAAAATCCTAGCTAAAAGCATTGCCATAGTAGTTGGTTATATGTCAAAAGTGGAAGATAAAGATGCTCCAAGTACCTTGTCCTTTTAAGATATATATATACACACCCACACATATAAATGACAGAAAGTAATACACAAAAATGTATAATCCTTACCATTGCCACCTGTTCTGTTACTCCTCTGTCCCACTGAGTTTTCAGATTCTTTGTATGGAAATTGAAGAGTAGTATCCAAACTTCGAAAACCTTCTCTGAGAGAGTGGTGCTTGTAGTATTCTACAAGTTCCTTTCAGAAAGGAAAAACACTTGCATTGGAAATTGAAATCACATACCATTCAGCATTCTGGTGTACAGCTGATGACACTTTTATTATGTAGGTAACTTTATTTTACAATACATCCCATAGAACATGCTTATTTTTTAAAATATAAAGTACCAGCTTTTATATTGCCACTTAAATGTAAACAAAACAAACCAAAAAAGACACCACAAAAATCAGCTAAGTCAAATCTTTTTGTCAGAGCCAACATTTGCTGCTCCTTTAAGTCAGGCTGTGGATGGTTTTGCTTTTCTGGAGCCAGGCAGAAGGCAAGGTCAGCTGCTTGCTAAGGATGGAGTGGTAAATGTCCCTGTTTTCTCAAATCTCTTTTGCAACAATAAATGATGTTTATCTACACATGTATTTGTAAGTATACAGATCTGAAATAAAGCATGTGGCTTGTAAGTTAACAGCAACTCAATGTGCAGATACTCAGATGATGTAAAACTTCCACAGCAGGGCAGGCTTGGGGGGTGTCAGACACTGCACACTGACTGAAAAATCCAGTATTTCATATTCTCCTGAACCCAATTCAAAAATTTCATCATTTCTGTGTGTGTGCATCTATATAAGCATTCATAGCTACACACAGGAATATTTTTACATATATCGCAAAAATTCATATATGTAAATATTAAAGAACAGCTGAAATAGTTTATGTAATCAAGAAGAAAAGTTTCTCAAATTCCTACTCTAAGGCATTACTTCCTAATGAAGGCAACACCCATCAAAATTCTGACAGCTCTTGCTATTCCTTTGCAATCTTCAACATTGTCTGTTACATTTGAATTAGCCCTAGAAATCTCAATATCACATAGTTTGTACATGGAGCTAGAACAAGAATAAAAGTGATCGGACAATTCAGAACAAGTGTACTTCAATTGATCAATTCAAATGTGGGATTTCACTCTTCAGAAATGCAAGCACAAAGCAATGTATTTACTGTAAACCCTTCACTTCATTCCACTTATTTATATTTAGATTTGCCCAGTCAGAGTTGACCAAGCTAAGCTTAGGTGAAAATTACAAGATCATACTGTTTAACAATTTCCTTCTAGGGAAACAACAAAACAAAACAACGACAAAAAATCAAGCAAACAAAGCAAAACAAACAGAAACATAAGCCAGACCACAAAAAGCTACCAAAATGTTCAGCCTATAATAGTCTACAACAGTGATACTAAGAACTCTTTGGGCTTTGCCGTTTGATATCAGCACATCACGCAAACTGGAATGTCAGCAATAAAATTTACTCCCATATCATCACTGAATATTCACACATTCAAATTACCATGACAATATTGTGTGTGACTTGTAAGCAAGTAGCATTCAAAGTAGGATATCTGGATAAATGGAAAATAATTAGTATGAAACTTCTGTTATCTTTTTCACAGCGTGAGTCCATAAGAATTGTGTTTGGTAAAAGTAATTAGAACTCCAAATGGACAGATGTTGTTTGTTGGCAAAATAAGTAAAATGGTTTTAAACTGAGGAAAGGAAAAACCATTTTACATCACAGATTCAGTTAGTTTTAAAGATTAAGTTTTAATTCCATTCTTCCATGAAAACAGTTGACTGACAACGGGCCTCTAAAACATGAATTGCACAAATTACAGTGGCAAAAAGAGATGAGAAGGGTAAGCAGTCTGTGCCAGCATGGATGGGGCTCCTCAGGAGCCTGTCACATCACCCTGATTCACAGCAGCAGCCAAACTGACCTCTCACTGCACCCTGCTTTATGCACTCAGCAGATTTTAATTATTCTGGTGAAAGTTTTTCAAATGTACTATGAAAAGCAGACACGAGAGCTCTTCTACATTTTTTCCTTCCAAAGAAGTACCAAAACGCTGTGTCACTGCAGATCACTACTTAACGTTACCATGGATGCTGCCTTTGTCTCTCTTCTGCTACTTCTACTTAGACTACTTTTATTCCTCTTTCAGACAGTTACTTTTTCTCTTGCATCTATCCAGAACAAAGCAGCTGTTCCACAGCATGTACAAACACCACACCACCTGTGTATTTAACTCTCAAGGGCAGAATTCATAATATCCTAAATCTCAGTTGTAAAATAAGTCTTTCCTACTTTAATGTTAGCAAGGCTAAATTGGTAGCAGTGAGGTCCTTACACTAGAAATTTCTTCTGTCCTCTCAATTCTGTCAGGCAATGCATTATTCGTTTTGCTCATTTTTCATCCAACTTTGTCCTTTATTTATATTTCTGCTCTACTTTGGAACCTGTACCAGTGCATTAAACTGCATCACTGCCATAAGAAGAAACCTGGCAGTGTGGCACTCCAGGTGCCATTTTGCCAAAATCAGTTTCCAACAAATCATTTGTAGGGTTCACAGGCTAAGCAGCCACCTCCCCGTGAATGTGATCAACACCATCATTTCTGCTGCTAAACATGAAAAGATCTCAGGGTCCTCAGCCCCAAAACTAAACTAAACTAAACTAAACAAGTGGCTTGTAAGTGTGAAATGAAGATGAGTGCAAAAACAGCTTGGTGCATGCTTCATCAAGAAATTTATGTTCTTACTGTTCTAATGAGCACTTACAGATTATCATTTAATCTCTCCCCACTTCTAGGATGCTCTTGTTTTACAGAGTATTGGTGATTAACCTAAAATAATTTCTAAGTATTCCTGGTTTTAAAGCTTCTCCCTGCTCTTGTTTTGTATTATCCTCAATTTTTATTTAGCATTTTCACATACTTGAGTACAGGCATGTATACTTGAGTACAGAGCGCAGGAAGGCTGAGTCCTAAAAACCACGATTTCCAACGACATCAAATTCTCCTTCCCAGATTCAGCCTAATTCCAGAGTGGGCTGATGCATGGGATTCAAATTCCTCCTCTCTTCCACTTCACTACAAGGGACACAGTCCATTCCTAACAATAAATATGTAGTCTTAAGCACATAAAATTATCACTTAGAGCTAAACCCATAAATATAAAAAATTATCCTATTAGCAGAAGTGGACACAATTCAAATCTTTCACTCTCATAGCTTTCTGGAATTTTATAAACCAAAGGAGCTCTCTCTAACAGAAACAGCTACGAAGAAAATCTCACAATCTTAAAAAGCTAATCAATGCTTACCATTAAATTTTTAAATTTTCTATTTTCTGCAATGTGGAAAAAGCCATCTCTTGTTAAAATCTTGATGTGTTTCACTTCATTATTGTACCTGTGGGCAATGAATAACTTATGAATATAAATGTGTTTTTAATCAGACACAATCAATAATTACCTGAGGGCATGCCCCTAGAACACCACACACATAAATTCTTAAGACAAAATGTATATCTGTGCCAAAACAAAGTTGACATCTAATCAACCAAACATATTTATTAAAGTACAGCTAAAGAAGTAATCTGTCATCAGAAAAAAAAAGTCAAAGCTAACTGCTTATTCTAATTGGGAATTCCCATGTACTTCCTGCTTTTATATTCATATTGAACAAAAACATGAAAGCAAACAAAAATTTGCACCCATAAAATGTACAAACCCACATTTTGCTGAATAGTCTTAGATGGAAAGGGCTTTGAGTTCTCACCAAAGTCAATGAAACAGATCTCACTGTAGTGCAAACAATGCTTACTCTTCTCAAACATTCTCAACCTTTATTTTTGTAGCCCAAATTTGCTACATCAGCATTATAAAACCATTGCTTCTTTCCTTCTGTAAATCCTGGGTATTTTTGACAACAACTTCAGTGTTCCTATATTGACTCTCTTAAAAGCTGTACATTATTATATATTTATTTCAAATACTATCTGGACAAAAATGAGAACAGGAAAACTTTCTTGAGGCATTCTTATTCCACTTCCACTTACTTAATACTAATTGCATATTCTCCTGATTCTGTGGTCCTGTGCCTCACCAGGTAAGTGCTATTTGCTCTGTTAATTAGTTCACTTTCTGCTTGCAATCGTTCCATTGCTCCTGCAAACCTGTAACAAGGAAAATAAAAATTGCCTATGATTTTGTTCAAAGCTCCACAGGTCTATTAAATATGCAACAGAGAGTGAAAATACTCTACACATCATGAAGACCAAAAATATATACATTGCAACTGAATACCACTTCCAGATTTCTGAATTAAGAATAAAACATGAAAAAATTCTACAGTGGGGGTTGTGGAATTCCTAATTAGAGAATACTTATATGCATGTTGAACACAATATCTGCTAAGGAAAGTGCTCGAGCCGAAGCATTTGGTGAATGACTACTGGCTTGAAAAGTTCACAAAACCAACTGGCTTATCTGAATCATGGTGCAAGAGAAGCAATACAACAGTGGTCCAGAACCTTTGAACCTCCCTGAGTTCTCAGGAGATTTATCACAACAGAAGGGAGAATCAGCCACCAGAGGTAGCTGGTCAACAAAAGACCTATATGAAAAGTTGGTATTTACACAAGACAATATTTTATTTTGTTTCATAATTGTGCATAACCTCTAAATGCTAAAGTGCAATACGCATACCAAACATCCAGAGGAAAAAAAAATAAATCAGCCAAAACCATCCAAATTTGAAAAAGCTGATGCTAAGTGTTGAAAGCTAAGACAAATAAATCACTGATTGTGCAGCCTGCCTGCATGAGCGGATTTGTGCCCTTGCTCTGCCCTGTGGTTTGTGTAGGACATCATGAGAGGCTGTCAGCAGACACTCATTTGCAAAATCAGAGGTTAAACTGTTCACTGGGGAAAGTGACCTAGCTTCCAGGGAAATTATGCTTATCTCCATTTTACAAAAGCTGTCACCACCACAGACCACCACTATGGAAAATTTCACACCAATACACCATGACCAATTAGAAAGGAGTTTAAGTAGGAAAATTGTTCTTTATTAAAAATCCATAGAAAATAAAGACTAATGCCAGTAGTATGTTTTCTTCTAACAAAATTATAAATAGACCAAATGTTAGGAATTAATTCAAAGACCAATTTTAAATAATAAACATTTTACTGGGCTTGTTATGAAAAGTCAATATTTGTTTAGATGTGATCCTAATTTCACTTTTGGCAAGTTAAGAGGAAGTTAGAACTCATGTCTAAATGGCAAGGCATAAAATCAGTGAAAAAGCACAAGTGATGCTTACTCTGCTCTCTCAGAATCACTATGTCTTTTCTGAGTTGTGGGAAAGAGTTCACACACTTCATAAACCCCAGAGCAGTAGTGGCTGCAGTTTTGATACACCATCTTCTTCACAACACCTTCAATATTCATCTAATCCAACCATCAACCTTGCACCACCATAAACACCCCTAAACCATATCCCCAGATGCCACCTGTATCTCTACACCTTCAATTTTGATGGGTTTTTTTAAGGAAATGCAGAATTATTCATGATATAAGATGTATTTAACATTATTCCTTCCTTTATTCACTCAACATGTAAGATATACTTCCATGCTTCATATTAAAATCATCTCTTATTGTTCTATTTCAGACCTCTGGGACTAAGGCTGTACAACCACAGACTTGTAAACAAAACATCACAATCTTTAAGCATTTTATGATATCAGAAATGCTTTTAGGCAACACATGGTATTGCTTTCCCAAACAATTACCGTCTTCTTCTGAAGCCTAGAAAGGTTAAACCAATAAAATTTAAATTGTAGTAAACACAGTTGCTTTCTGTGACTGCTTTATTCAGAGATTCTTGTAAGACAAGACAGAGACTTACCACAGCTGTGACGAGTAGTCTACTGGCTTAGGAACCTAGGATATCAAAATATACAGAAAATGAGGATCAAGATATTTTTTTCTAAAACAAAAAGTGGATTGATTTAACTGTCAATATCCAGGTGATCTAATTTGTCTACAAGTCTATTTTCTTTAAAGGAAGTTATAATAAAGGACAAATATTCCCTATCATTCTGAAAGTAATACAAAATATTTTAAGCTCTTTTCTTCTGTGACAGTTTGTTTTGGGCATTTTTACTTCACAGAACTGTTCAAAGCTTTTCTGACAGTGCCTATATTCAAATTACATACACACAATAGCTCAGTGCTCTGCATCGTAGAAAAGTGCACTGAAATATGCAACCAATTTACAGTAATGCATAAAATTCATTTCATGTATTCTGACTGTATGGACTGTCTACTGGAAATATGGTCTATAATCTTCAGAGAGACCTGAGGATATTCACCAACAGACCACATGACATCATTCATTCCTTTGTATTTGACTTGGGCAATTGTTATACTGTACCTCGCTAAGCATGTAATTTGATTCTCAAATTAAATTTTAAAATTAAACTGCAATCAGTTTGCAAAATGGATGTTATATGTACACAAACATATGCACAGATAATGTTTATTCATGCACAAAATGCACAGTATCATCTCCCATTAGTGTGTGACAACTCAGTATTACCCTACTCTTCTAAAACAATGTATGAAAATACACAGTGCTGAAAAATGGATTTTAGTGAAAGGTTAACATAAATCTCACACGCTTGTAACTTAAGGTCACATATTCTTAGGTAAGCACATATATTTTGGTTTTTATCCTTCAAGTAAAACCAATAAAAGTTTTATTTTCTGAACTCTAATAGGGAAGAAATTACAGTAACATTCTTCTCACAGTTTTTTATTCATGATATATGGAATGTCACCAAAAGAGACTTTCCAAAACAAATCCAGTCAGGAAATTATTATTGTAAATGCCTATAAGCTTAAATTGATTGAATTGCAATCAATTACAACTCCCACTGTCTTGACCTCAGGTATCAGCTAAGATCTCTATCAACTCTCTAGACTTGACCTTGAAATAAACTTCAATGTGGAACACATTGAAGTTCTCTGGCATAAAACCAGGCTCACGTGTTTGCCTTGCATAGCAGTAAATCTAAACAGGTATTAAACAGTCCTTTAGTCTATTCTTGAGAGAGAAAAAGGAAACATGCATTATCCCAAACAGTGTAGACAAAGGGCTCTTTCCACAGCAGCATCTGCAGTGCTGGCAGCACGTGAAGCCCTCCGGAGTGGAGGGCACCCAGGAGAGCCAGGGGAGCACTGGCCTTCCCCATCCCTGCAGATACTGATGGTATCACTCTGCTTCTAATGGGGAGACCTGCCAGAAAGTTAACAGACTATGACAATTCCTAAGAGAAATCTTTTAGTGGATCAACCAAATTGCACACTTCAAGTCCACAAATTCAAAAATTACCACGTTTTTACATGTTGCAAGATACTCTTAAATATTTCTAATTTATTTGAATATTTCTGGTAGTGCTAATAAAGTGGATATAAAAATTCAAAGATGGTATAAGTCCATCCTTCAGTTCACTTAAATAATAGATGAGTAGCTGCTTTTGTAAATTTTGAAAGGACAAATATATTCATATAACAAGTGTGTGGTTCATTGGCACAAAGAAGGATAAAATCAAATGTTATTTCAGAAGCTCTTGGCTCGTACTGTGCTATGTATCTAATGCCTCTACAGAAATTAGAAAAATGGAGGAACGCTAGGAAGAAACAGATATTACTCATATAGTGCATAAAATGTCTGCTGACATATACTACTTATTTTAAAGGGGGAAAAAATTGTTTATAGGGACATCTGTGAAAAGTCTGGAATATAGATATTCTGGAGCTCAGCAGTTTTTCATTCAATATTCATTCCTAAAGTCTTATGATATATGGATTTTATGCTGTTTCTGGGCACTTTTATATCAGATGGTTGTAAAAACTGTTAGACTTAATAATAACAGTAAAAGTTATAGTATGTTTAAAACCTGATTGATGTTTCAGTATCTTTAACTGCATCATTTATCATAATAAGATGTTTATATTTCATCCTTCCAAGTTAACAGTGGTGAAGCATCAATTCATCTTTTTGTTCTGATCATGACACCAGTTGGTAACACTTCATGAATAGTATTTATTCATTCTGTAAAACTGTGTTATTTTCAATACTCCTCTAAATAGTATATTTTAAATTTAGGAGAAAGCTTTAACATTAGAAAGAGACCTACATAACATGCCAGCAGCATTTTCTTAACTTCAGATATTACACTGACAGTGCTTTTAAAGTACATTGGTGATTCCTAAAAGTACTGCTACAGCTGGGGTCAATGACTACACAATGACTGATGGGGTCACTACAAGTGACATCATGGCATGGGAAATCCACCCTTGAACAATAAGCAAGGGTGGGAAATTCACAAATTTAACAATAAGCAAAGGGTGGAGGGACAAAAGCTATATTCACACAACAATTTCATCTTTATTTCAGATTTGTCCCCAACTAACACAACTTGTACCTACAAATAGCATTCCACTTCAAACAAAATCCTGGAAATACAGGGTATTAAAGATGTCGTATGGTATTTTAATGTACTTTTACTCCTTAGGATCTCATGCAAACTTGTTCTGGAAACAAAGGCACAATAAGCCCCAAAGACATATCAAAATGCAGCTACTAAGAGCTGATCTCCACCTACTTATAAAAGCCATTGAAGTGGCATATCTTGATTGCTGTAACAAAACCAATTCTATTAATAAGTCAAACTGTTGAGAATCAGGTTAGAGTAAGTTAAAACTACCTTAAAGCAAAGTAAGGAATAGGATGCATTACTGGGTTTATGGGTTTTTACCAATCCTCAGCCAAGGAAGGCAGTAATCTGATGCACAGTGTTACAGAAGGCAGAGAAGGAACAAGTGCATAGTATATTAATACAGCATTACATCTGTAAAACTCTTGAGTACATATTATAAAATTATTTTTCTTATTACTTTCACAAACTTTTCTATATTGAGAAGATTCTTGCACGAAATAAAAACAGGTAAGAACATAAAGAAAAAAGAAAATTTATCAAGCAGTCATAATTCAAAGTTTGATATTAGTTTTACAATTTTTAAACTTACTAGCTAGGCTGTAATCCCTCTCTCTAACCCAAAGTGACTGGGGAATAGATTAGCACTCTCACCTTTCTGCTGGGGAAGGAATAAAGTGGACTTTCACATAAAATGTATTTGATCTACAGTCTGGAAACTCTTCAGACAGTTCGATTTATTAATATTCCCAAAAGTTAAACCTGCTTATCAAACTTGTTTTCTTGACATGCCCTACTTACATCCAATAACCAAAGTATTAGAACTCTCTACTTTAAGCAATACTGAACCCACCATGAAAGCACCAAGGAACTAGAAACATATTATTTTTGCAAGGTAAAATTAATCTTGATGAACTAATGAACTGGACAGTTTTCCTGTAAAGTGGCAAACAGGAGTAAATAATTCTACTTACACATGGACTAGGTTTTACTGCATCACTTGGGAAGAATCCAAGCTCTCCTGTTGTTAGATTTCTTCCCTAAAAAAAAAAAAAAATTCCATTTTTGAGACATAATTGGGATTAACAGTAAATAATAACACATGCCCAGGAATTTAGGACAATAAATATATCCAAGAGTTTTTAAAATAAAATGCTATTCTAATAAAGTGTTGCTCAATATGTCTGTGGGTTTTCTTTTTGTTTTGTTGGGGTTTTAATATAATTAAGTAATAATTATAACTGATATACCTGAAAGCTCTGAGAGATGAGAGGCAAGAAGGGAGCTCTGAGACTGAGCTGTGATTCCCAGCTCTGTCAATGTCTGCCAGTGTCTGATATCTTCATTAATGTTAATTATCTCCTTTCAAGTTACATCCTCCTCAGCTGGTATTCTACAGAAAGCTGCCACCCTGCAACCTTACAGATCCCCAAAATGACTGCACCAGTGTGCAGCAGTGGTTGCAGCACCTGAGAGGCCAAACTCCAGTGGGAGCTCAGCGCTCGTGATCCAGCAGCCAATTCAGACACCACGCTGAGCACTTCCCTAAGCGATGCACGGCGTCAGTGGCTACCGACTGGGCAGGGGAATACCAACAGAATTACAGATGACTCCCTGACTATCATATACTGACATGCTGGAGGTGCATCCACACAATGGAGAGACCAGGGCAGAAATGCATCCAGCACAGCCTGAACTGAGCCTTTCCTGCCCTCCCAGAGTGGCAGGAGCACCAATTTACTCCAGCTTCTAAGCACCAAAAGTGACCTATTCCTAGTAATATTTGGCAGTGAACACACATTTTAGAGTAGAACAGAGCACATACCTAAATTCCTGAACAGAGATTCATAAAATGAAGGCATCAGAATGTGTATTTAGACAAAGAAAGGATTTAACTGATTTTTTAAAAATTTTTTAACCTCCATTAAATGTAATACACTGACTGTAAATACAATATACTCTCAGCATTTGGCAATGAGATTAAGTATGAGTACTTTATAAGCATTAAAATCATGCAAATTACACTTCCTTTTTATTTTGATGGCCTACCTGCAACATAAAAAATTTTAAAAGGGAAAAACCCTCATAAACACACATGAAATTTCTTCAGGGTTTCAGTTCATTTTGTTTCTGTAACAGTAAATGTGTAATTCTACCATAACACCACCACAGAAAATAGAACTCAGAAAATTCAATAAAGTGGAGCTGCATGTAAAAAAATAACAAGGGTTTATGAAAAAATAAAAACATTCTTTGATTGGTGCTATCCTAAGCACAGTAAGTGAATGCACCATTCTCCATAGAAGATCACTATGTAATTCATCACACACAGTAGCTACCACCTTAACCAAAAATACTGAGAAGTGCAGAGGCAGCAGAGGAGAGGCAAAATCACACAGCCAGTATTTAAGCTAAAAGTTCTTTATACCAGAGATATTTTAAAAAATAATTCTGTGCAAACAAGTGACAATCTCACAGATTTGAACCTGTGTTCAGCAAAGCTTCCTTACTCCCTTTCACATCATCTGCTTGAATACAGGTTACCCTTTGTATCCGTATATTCTATTTACTCCTGAAACACAAATCCCTCTCGTGTACAGACCTAATTCTAAGCACAGCTCTGAAACAGTCTGCCATCCAAGTGACACTTTTTTTCAATACTAATCCTACCTGAATAGCAAATGGTACTGCACTCAATAAGACCAGCCACCGAACAAAACATATTCACGTCTATCAAGACATGTTTGACCGCACTTCAGCTACAGCTCAAGCACTGCTTAGTAACCTGTATTATTTACTTCCTATGCTGTAAAAAAATGAAAAAGTTTTACTGAAATCACACATACTTATCTATTACAATCATTTGAATTTCTAAATGGTCAGCTTAGAAAGCCATTGTAATATTAGTCTAGAGGGTCAGCTGTAAATTACCCTAAAAACCTTCTGAATAATTAAATATTTTAATATAAATTGCATTTTGCAGGCTCTTTCTTAATATGCATTTTAAAATGTAGATGTCATTAAAAGACTCAGAAAAATCTGTCTTAAGCAGTCTGTGACAAGAGAGAAAAAAATTCCTGAATGATGCTAATGGAGATGACAATTTCCATTAGGATTCAAATCTATTACTAAGGCTTCTAGGGAAAAGCCTAACGCACTTTCTGGTTTCTGCGAGTTAAACACAATGAGATTCTAGCTAAATTCTTTAGCATGATAATCACAAACAACCTCTAAGACAATTTCCAGTAAATTGAGTTGACAGATGTGTATGAACATGGCAATAGAATCAGTCCCACGCGGTAGTGGTAATTTTGGCTTGTACTAATTGTATTAGTCAGATGATTACCTTTTAGCCAGTCCTAAGTCAAGAGCAGGTTTAAATGCTCCTCCAGATCAGAATTCTAGACCTTGCAGAACCAAGTCTTACATACAAAACTACACAGGCCAAACTGTCATTTGAAAATATTTCTTTTTAGTGATGCAAAATACCCATGGTCTGCTAATTAACAGGTTGGGGGGGTTTGGAAGGGAATTGGTTGGTTTTTTGGGTTTGGAGGATTTTTTAGCAGGGGGTAAGGTGGTTTGGTTACACCTATTTTATTTTTTTTCAATAGATAAAGTAATTCTATTGTTTATTACTTCCCCCCAGTAAATGTTCAGAATGATACAGTGACATAGGAAGTGTTCTCTGAGCCAGTCCTGAAGAGTTTGAAGAAGATTCCATCCTAACTGTAGCTAGAAAAACAAAAGCCAAAACAAACAAGTATGACATAACTCATGAAGTAGACCAGGCAGTTTTTGTATTATAGTCATTACCTTATTATAGCTTTAAAAAGAAAAAAAGAAAAACAAAAAAGGAAAAAAAAATAGTAGAAAATCAGGAAGATCAGGAAGATCAACACAGGAACAGCAATTCAAGAAGACAGATGTTTTCCCCTTGTTGTTCCATTAATCTCCTAATAGTTCTTCTATTTAGCTCTATTTCCATGTATCCAATAATACAAATAATTCAGAACAATAAAGAAAAACGAGGCATTTTAATGCATTTACTGTTGAAGTGCATGCAAATCAGCATTTTCAACATTTATAGTTCTCATTTAAGAAGACATTTTCATAACAAAAGTAGTGATGTGAATCACGTGACAGCAAATTTGCCATCAATAGAATATACTTTTCCTATGTATATAAAAAACCCCTATCCTTAACTGACTTGAGCCAGCATCAAGGCGTTTAGGTGTGGTTCTGTTTTGCAGAGCTATTTTTCTCCCCTATAAATCTAATATGCACTGACTGGGTTTTGTCAACAAAGCTTTTACTTATGCTGTGTAGAGAACCAGACACTGAAAATTCAAAAACTTTGCTTTTTGTGCCAAACACTCTCCTTAACTCTTATAATTTCACAAGGATTGCCACCAAGGTCATGTTCTTGCACATTTATTCACCAGGACTTTTACTTTAAGGTTTCAAGAATGAAGATTTAAACCATATAGGAACTAGTGGCAATTTAAAAGCAGAATTCTTTGTATTAGGCATTTATTTGGATAAATCACAAGGAATCTAGTTCTTCTTGTTCAAAAAAGGAAAAAAGGAGAGCAATATATCAATAAGAAGTTGATATCTGGACAAACAGAATACAGCCATTAGCTAAATGATACAGTACCTGCCAAAATAAGCTGTGTGCATCTCCTCTAATAAGTTCAATAGTGTCCCCAATCTGAATATGCAATGGTGGCCAAAAAAATGCAAAAAAAAAAGGAAAAAAACTGAAAAAAAAAATTAAAAAAATTTAAAAAAAAAATGAAAAAAACATAAAAAAAAAA